GACTATCTAGATTAATACCAAATACGTAGGCTTTGAGGCTATCAATTGATTTTAAGTGTATACAAAGAAGCTGAATCTCTTGGCTTACAAGTGTTGGGCTCACTTTAAGTTCAAGTGAAAGTGAGTTATGAAGATATCCTATGGTCGATCCTACCAGAAGACACTGCAGATTCCTCTTGGCTTTGCTGTAACATTCTGATTGGTGTTTTTCTCGAGGCAACTTACTTTGGTTCTGGTGAACACGTACCAAGCTTTCTGCCATAATATGATGGACCTCATCAGAGTAGGGTATCATGCTTTCAAGAATCTTCAAGATAACGAATCAAGAAAACTTACCGGCTTATCCTTAAATGCCGTATATATATACTCCAAAACGAGGTCTAAAGTGATTCAGCTATTTCAAGTGAAGTGTCGAATTATAAGCATGTGCCGTGTATACATTTGTGTGTGCTTATGTGCCTTCATATGTACATATATGCACGAAACCAATAGTGAATTGAACATAACATCTTTTCTCGTCAACAAGGTTAAATGACTCCCAACTCCCCACCTTTTTATTTTAAACACCACTCTGCATGAATAATATTAGACACATACACACGTATTTATATGTATGTGTGTGTGAGAGAGAAAGAGAGTGAAATTATATATATATATAGAACGTGTTATCGTAAGTATAAACACGATATGACATAAGACAGACGTAAATTTCGCTAAGGAAGCAAGGCTATGGGAAATTCACTTGAACCGTCTTTGAAAATTCAGCTACCAGTCTTTTATAACCTTAAACGAAGAGGTTGAATACAACTTTTTATAGGATCTACTGACGGTCCCGAAAACCTACTTACAAATGAAAGCTTGTTATGTTTTCATCGGAATCGAAGGAGATTACCTTGGGGACAGCAGTATCAAAAATGTTCCAGTGAAGCTAACTGTCACTTTGACAAGAGGAATTCACCTCCGTCTTCTGGTGAGATTGATCTTTGAATCTCTTCATTACACACTTTTAGTCGAGATAAAAGTTACCTCAATACATATATTTTGTGGTCGGTTGTTTAAGTTCTTCTTATCCCTTCGAAACCCACTCATTTGCTGAGCAAATAAGTATTTGTCTCATCGAACACGGTGCCAGTATAAAACTGTGAATTAGGAGAGTCATACTAAGAAGCCTAGAAGGCGGTAGAGTGGTCAAGACCATGTTTCCAACTTCGCCACAGGACCTGATACAACAAAGGCGAGGTGGAATTTGTGATTCAGCCTGGGTGAGAAAACGCTTTGGGTGACAAGGCTGAGTAAACATCTGAGAAATGGCATCATAAGGAGCATTCTACCCAATGCATTGTAGAAGACTTAATGGTAGGTCCTTGCGTCACATAAAGTGAACTCTGGTAATTAGAGTTGTTAGCCTTAAGCCTCCTTCATTGCAGCCGGTTAGTTCAATAAGACGTTTTTTTTCTTTCTTATCTCGCAACTAGACTGCTCTGGATGGGACTTTTCGATAATAATTAATCGTGTAGCCCTACCCAATGATCTACCCCTATTTCCAATACTTCTGATGCTGCAAGTATCTTTAGCGGGCCTTGAGCTCTCATTCGGCACTGAATTTTCCCTCAGATGGAGTTGCAGACAAGGCAGGACAGGCGAGGCCAGGCCATGCCATGCCAGCGCTCGAGGTGGAATTTTTCCCCTTTTATGACCTGCTCACTCAGACTTTAGAGGAGTCCCGTCAAGACGCGCCCTCTCATCTCCATCGGCCTCTGCTTATGCCCGCAACTATCTCCCCAACCGTAAATGCCTCGGTGCTTATGCTTCTACAGACATGTACCCGATCGCCAGGGTGCTTCCGTATGCCTGGATGTGTGTGTGTATGCTTTATGTGTATGTGTGTGAACCACTCTGGAAAGGCGTGAATGCGCTCGTTTCACAGGTCTGAATTGCCCATGCCCCCTGGGCTGAAAAGCCAATCCGAGAAGGCGTTCGTGTGTCGTCTGTTGCTAAGTCTGGCTGTTCGTCGGATGGGCGGTGACGGTGGCGGCGGTGGTCTGAAAGCAAACTGGCCTTCTCCAGCCTCCCTGTCATGGTACCCTCCGCCCGAGCCCCACCCTCCCGACAAGAGTACGGCCATGATCGCTAACCTCAAGACCTTCGCTCAGTCGACCAACCAGACGATCCGCTCCGAGCAGTCGCCCCGCCCGAACCCTTGCTCAGGTCCCCCATCAGCCTCCAACCGGCTAACTTGCTCTACTCCCACCGTTCCGTCCGGCTTTTTGTCCTCTTTTCTCCCTGCATTTACTCTCACGATTAATCCATTTCATAGGGGAGATGTTCCGGTTGGGATAAAGACCGATTGGACTGTCTATAAGGCAAAGAGAACGAGTGTAGAGGGAGCGCGCGAACTAGAAGAGGGAAAAAAGCGACATCAACCACCGAAGAGACACCAACGGAAGTCGATTGCTTCTGGGTGCCGGTTTTGTTGTTGTCGGATTTTTTTGCTCTGCCCAACCCGCCCACCGGTACCTCTCCCCTGTCTGTCCAACCACCTTGCTGTATATTGGTCTGGTGGCTGTGCGTCTGGGCCGTCTAATGCCTGGCCCAGGGGCAATGATGTCTGGCCTGACCTCACTCTCTCACCCACCACATCCCACGACCCATGTCCCATGTCCGAAGCCCCTGCCCTTGGTCTATCAACCCCCTGCTGGTCCCTCCTTCAAGACAAGATTGCTTTCTGATATTCACCGGCCAAAGTGTCTGCGGGGCGCTACGCCTCTCGGGATTTCTTTTAACCACACAGGGCTATACACACACACGCATACACACACACATGCGTCTACGCCTCTACATACACCTCACACATTATTTTCCCATTTCATTCGTTTTTTCCCTCCTAGTTTCGCCCGGAAAATAGCCGGACCAGACTAGGCAACGACAGTTCTAACTGCCCACGATTGTCTGACCACTTTTTTTCCCCGGCCAGACAACTTGCAAGCTACATGCTGGCGTGTGGAAGCGTTGTATAGGGACCCGGAGATTGAGAAGCATTACTGTTTTGCTCGCTATATGTAGACCTTTCGAGCATACTTCTCTTTATAATTGTAACCACATTTACTCTCCCTCGCCCCTTGTCTCCTACTCTCTCCCCTCCCACACAAACGTAGGGACATATTTCAGTCCAAGTTATTGTGCGCCTATATGCATGTATATAAATATATATTTACACTTTGGGCAGATGAGAGAGAGCTTACCATTCTCGCAGCCACTTATTTTAGAGACGGTAATAAAATCCCACTTTGTGTTTTCCTCGGAGCAGCATTAGACAGCCTCCGTGCTGGAAAGCAATGCAACCAGGCATTATAGGAAGCACCCAGACGGAGAAGGCCTATGGGGGAGTTGAACGACGGAAACGCGCAATCTCTCTTGTGCACACACAGAATCCAACATACAATCACATTAGTACATCATGTACAGGCTACAAGCCGGGCATAATGCAGTTTAGCTACAACAGTTTAATCACTTTAACTTTTGCCCGAGTCGAGGCATTTAGCTCCTCGTCAGTCTTGTCCGGCCCCAGTTCGTATGTTCTACACTCGTTAGCAAAAGCGTGTACATTCGTAAATTGGTGTATTTATCAAATCCTCTATTAATCTCAGCACTTTCGCCTTGTCTCCACCCCCCCTCTACCGCCACCCTCCACTCACATCACACACACACACACACATTCATCTCCGTTGCGAGGGGCCGCTAGGAAGAGCCTCTCGTGACATCTTGTTTCGTCGACTGAGTTTCGGCCTCCACCGTTAGTTTTCGTCCATAAGCCCTCTCTTATGGACCATTCTCGACGTCTCTATCACGAATTATTCGACT